AAAAAAATGCACACCACACTGCCCTTACTGCAGCCAGGAGTAGACAGCTGCCAGACAGGTAATGCTCTCTCTGCTCTAGTGCTAACACTGCCTTTTTTCCTTTTTTTTTAACCTTTTTTCAATCATGGCACCCTTTAAAAAGTATGCAAAATCTTGAGGTACCCCAGCAGGGGTGGACTGACAACTCATGGGGCCCACGGGCAATAGGGGATCATGGGGCCCCTGTATCCTTGCCCAAACTCAAAAAAGCCTATGAAAAAGGTACCAGGGGCATCTCATGGGGCCCCCTACTGACCCCGGGCCCTCGGGCAGGGCCCGAGTTTCCAAATGGTCAGTCCGCCCCTGTACCCCAGTGTATAATGTAAAAACGCTTGCAATCTTTGGTTAATCACATCCCCCAGTCAAATCATTCAACTTTCTCACTTTCCTTTTCTCTCTTTCTCTTTTTTCTCTCTCATTCTCGCTGTCTTATTCTCTCTTTCCTCCTCTTTCTTTTCTTTTCTCACTCTCTTTCCTTCTTGCTCTCTATTCCCTCTCTCTCTGCCCCATCACTCTCTTTTTCTCTTTCCATTCTTTTTTCTCTGCTCATCTCTCTTTCCTTTTCTATTCTCGCACTCTCTCATTTTCTCTTTCCCTATTTATCATCCTCATTTAATCTCACTCCATTTAGAACATTGTTGGTTCATACCCGAAACTGCATGCGATATGTACGGGAACGCTCTGCAGTTCCTGTGCAATTCACATACAGTTCTGTGCAGTGCAATCTCATACCATTATTTTGGGATGAGATTACACAATTTTAAATGGATTGAAATTACACTACACCCCAAGTAGTGCATGCACAACTTTTTAAAAACGCACTTTAACCGGATTGCATGGTACTTTTGTACCATGGGATCTGGTGTGGGCAAACACACTGCATTTGCAACCAGTGTTTGGGGTGTCAATAACTTATTATTGACACCCACTGTAGAGTGCAAATGGAGTGTGTTTTGTATGAAGTGTGAATTCCGTTGCAGGCATGGTGTGAACCAACCCTGGTTTCTTTAGGTGTTCATCTCTCTCTTTTTTTATCTGTATGCAAAAAACTAAATAAAAGTTTTGCTTACTGCTCACTGAAGGAAATTTCCATTACACATGTTCAATTAATACAGCCAGTTGGTGTCCTAACCATTCTCAGAGCACTTTGCAGGCAAGACTGTAGTATCCATAATGTGAAATTTAATGCTGCTGTCTGGTGAACAATCACCACATGAACACATTTTACCTGCCTGTACAGAGTTTGGACTAGAGAGCATGCCGAGGGCGATTCCTCACCTGCCCTACACTGAGCATTGACTGGACTGACACAAGGAGATGATGTATTAGCCACCCCTGAACAGCTGCAACTCCTTCCTGTTCTCTTTTCATCTTGTGTCCAGTTCTAGATAAATGATCACAGGGTATGTGGGGAGGAGGCTGGGCAGAGGGAGATAATAGATTTCATTGGACAAGGCTTCCTGACAGGATGACTAAGGGGTGGATGTTAACTTTTTCAGCAGTGTAGAAGGAAAACAGCACATTATGATATGGGAGGAATCTCTACTTCCGCTTTTAAAGAACAGGAGTTGACAGGGAATCTCCAGAGGCCCCTTGAAACAGAGGCTGGGTCGAAATTGTGACCCCTGTAGTTGTGCCAGTGATATTAGGATTAGTTACTACAAAATTTAGATTTCCCAGATAAATGCAAAATAGAAATTTGCAGTCTCGGAGTGCCACCCACTGGCCAAGTTGAGCTAATGCTTGCACAAACACCTAGTTGATCAGTAACATGATTTGTCAATGAGAAATAAGGTTACACCCTCTGGGCAGTATTTATGAGTTGTATTATTTGTAACTAAATAAATGGCAAGTCATCGCTCATCAGAGATCATCATCACAGATTGCATCATCAAGAGACAGATCACACTTTATACCTATCATCTGGAAGACTCATCATCTGACACACTTCACTGAAGGCAGGACACACAGATCCAACATAGCTACTGTAGATATCATTTTGAAGACAAAACTTCACTCTGTGATCGGTAGCCATCTTTTGAGGGTCTGGTCAGCAGCCATTTCAAAGACTACCTATTATACTTGGAGTGTAACTATAGTATATTATTTTTTGTTGATGTTTGTTTGCATAATTAATAGGCCAATTGCAATAAAAATCATTGCAGTAAGCCATCATTCCTCTACCAATAACATAACACCAGACTTAAGTAATTTTTTTAAAACAATTTTGCTTTTCTTGACCGTATTGGCATATACTTTTGCATATTTCAACGTTTATTCTTTCTGCAAGTGAATAACAGTTGGAATCTGTAAACTGAAGATTACTGTCTGCCAGGTAGGTATAAATGGTTATGCGGCCTCCGTATATACCCATGTGTTAGTAATTAAGTAATTACATCTTAAGTAATTCATTGTGAATAACATGTCAGCGTCTATGTCATATCTCGATTTTGGTATATGGTGTTTGTAAGTGACTTATTATAAAATAAATTGTATTTATATTTATAGGCTTCAGTCCATACTTACGCTCAATCTTATTATGTTTCTCAAAGAATTTCTGCATTGGCAAAGAATCTTGGGAATAATTAATTAGTTGACTTAATTATTTTTCATATTTCTTTTTGTATTGGAGGCACTGTTGTTTATCAAGCGATTAAACAATCAATATAGCTGACTAAAATAATTGTTCAACATCCTTGACACAATGATATCTCTGGTGAATTTCAGATTCACTGAACCTTTAATCCCCAGTAGTACAGTCACACAGAACAGTGTCTGAAGAAAAAAGGTTTAGCCTCTGCATAGGGAAAGACTTCTTTACAGTAAAAGTTTTGGAAAATGTGGAATAAGATTCCACAAGGTCAAGTTCTAGCCAACTCAGTAGATTGTTAAAAAAAAAGCTGGATTGTTAAAAAAAAAAAAGCTGGATGTGTAAGTAAACACTGTAGAATGTTGATCTAGAGAGAGTACCCCATTGCCTGTTCCAAGGGGATCACAAAAGCATTTTCCCTTTGGATTGGGAGTGATCTGTCTTTCACATTGAATAAGGCTGTACTTTGGCAGTTAAATTGTTCTTGCCACTACATAGTATGGTGTGCTGTGTGTAACATGATGTAACAGCATGCTAAATATAATAGAGAAAAAGTACAGCATGCTGGGTATAAAGACATTTATGAGATGGTGTGCTTGGTTTAGTGGGGTTCACAATACAGATCATGTTTAAAATGTTGCTTTGGAGCCCAATTATCCATATGTTATTTTTTTTCTTCTTTAATAAATGGTCATGGTGTTATAGATATTGCTTCTCACTTATTCTATTTATACTACATTTGCCATACAAAACTGCCAATGGACTATGGCTGTCTCTTACCGTCTGCAGATAGTTATACAGCTGGTCATGATCAGATATATGCTGTGGCTCTGAAACCCCCAACGATGTATTATGGTATACAGGGCTTCTCCATAAAGTAGATTACGCTGAACAAATAAAGTGAAAACAGTGTTAATGTCAGAGCATAGCTGAACAAGGTTTTAGACATCCTAAAACCGTCCATAAAACAAAGCATATAAGTTGAAGAATTTGTGCTGGACTGAAGGCTAAATTTATCGGGAATATTTTTCAAAGTCTAGGCTAGTTAAAGGAGGGGGCGTGGTTTGGACACAACCAAGATGGACACCTTCTGAGAGAACTCCAGTGCCACAGGAACTGAAAAACCACCCAGAGCAGCTTTCTTGATTTTTAAAAATGGGAAAAATAGGCAGAGCACCCCCACCAACCCATCCCCTGCACTCTCAACTGGGTCCTTAAAGCGGAGCTCCACCTAAAAGAGGAAGTTCCACTTTAAGCCTTTGTCCCCTGCTCCCCATTAAGATTGGCACCTTTGGAGAACAGGGGGGGTGCGGGTACCCCAATTTGACAGTTACCCGTTCCACTTTCGCTGCGATCGCCTAGGCCAGTGGTGGGCAACCTTTTTTTTCAACTGAGCCAAATCTCGCCAAAACCACGATTGAAATTTATTTTGAGAGCCACATTTTTAAAACATCCCCCATGAAAATACATCCCCCATATAGTAATTCATCCCCCATAGTAATTCATCCCCCATATATATAGTAATTCCCTCATCCCCCATAGTAATTCATCCCCCATATAGTAATTCATCCCCCATAGTAATTCATCCCCCCATATAGTAATTCATCCCCCATAGTCATAGTAATTCATCCCCCCATATAGTAAATTCATCCCCCCCATATAGTAATTCATATAGTTCATTCATCCCCCATATAGTAATTCATCCCCCATAGTAATTCATCCCCCATATAGTAATTCATCCCCCATAGTAATTCATCCCCCATATAGTAATTCATCCCCCCCCCATATAGTAATTCATCCCCCCATCCCCCATATAGTAATTCATTCCCCCCATATTGTGTCAATTCACTTACCTTTTCTCCGCGCGTATCTCTCGCCGTGTTTTCCTGCGCCGTTCCGGTCTTCAGGGCGGACTAGTGAGAGGAGAGGAGTTCGTCACGCTGCCCCGCCTACATCCTTACAGCCAATGTTTGCCACGCTCCGCGGGATTAAAAGGTCCACCCCCATATAGCATCCCCCATAGTATACGGCCCGCGGGCCGTAGTTTGCCCATTGCTGGGTTAGCTGCAGAGTCCTGACTTTTTTTCTCCGGGGCAGCCGCCCGTTCCGAGAGGAGGGGAGGGGAGCGGGCGCCGCCGGCACACAGAAGAGCCGCATTAAAATGTGTAAAGAGCCGCATGTGGCTCGCGAGCCGCTTTTGGGGCGGCTTGCGACCACTGGCCTAGGCAATCATAAGTAGAAGCTGTCCTTGCCGACCACTCCTAGGCGATCCCTTCCCCCCCTCCCTCCGTGTAGTCTTCTGAGACATGTGACAGGTCCCAGAAGACTATGGGGCCATTCATAAAGTGCGACGCTTCTCGCGCATGCGCAGCGGGCACCGGCTGTGAAGCCGCAAGCTGTCATAGCCGCACCGCCCCCCCCCCGTGTCCTGAACTGTCCCTGTTGTGCGCACTGACCACCCGTGTCCTGAACTGTCCCTGTCATGCGCACCGCCCCTGTGTCCTGAACTGTCCCTGTTGTGTGCACTGACCACCTGTGTCCTGAACTGTCCCTGCTGTGTGCACCAACCACTCGTGTCCTGAACTGTCCCTGCTGTGTGCACCGACCACCTGAGTTCTGTACTGTCCCTGTCGTGCGCACCGACCCCCCCCCGTGTCCTGAACTGTCCGTTGTGCACACTGACCACCTGTGTCCTGAACTGTCTCTGTTGTGCGCACTGACCACCTGTGTCCTGAACTGTCCCTGCTGTGTGCACCGACCACCCATGTCCTGAACTGTCCCTGCTGTGTGCACAGACTACCCGTGTCCTGAACTGTCCCTGTTGTGCGCCCCGACCTCCCCCGTGTCCTGAACGGTCCCTGTTGTGCGCACCGATGACCCTAGAAAGCTGGGTGAGAGCTGTGCTAGGCCAGACTTCACAGCTAGAGTCCCGTTGAGTCCCCGTGACCCCGATGTCCCTGGAAAGCTGGGTGAGAGCTGTGCTAGGCTAGACTCCACAGCTAAAGTCCCGTTGAGTCCCCGTGACCCCGATGTCCCTGGAAAGCTGGGTGGGAGCTGTGCTAGGCCAGACTCCACAGCTAGAGTCCCGTTGAGTCCCCGTGATCCCGACGTCCCTAGAAAGCTGGGTGGGAGCTGTGCTAGGCCAGACTCCTCGGCTAGAGTCCCATTGAGACCCCGTGACCCAGACGTCCCTGGAAAGCTGGGTGGGAGCTGTGCTAAGACCAGACTCCACAGCTGGAGTCCTGTTGAGTCTCCGTGAGCCTACTTGCCGGGGGTGTTCCTACAAGCCGCATGTCGCGGAGTGCCATGAACTGTCTTGGCCGAGTGTCTTTCAGAGTTCAATAAAGCTTTGTGTGTTCCCCATCTTCTTTGTGTGTTCTGTCTGCCTACGCTTCCGTCACAGGCTGTATTTTAAAAGTTAGCAGCTACAGTTTTTGTAGCTGCTCACTTTTATTTATTTAATTTTTTTTGGTGGAACTCCGCTTTAGCCTCCCACCAATGTTCTGGACACATGGCAGACTTGCTCCCAGAGCTTACAGCACTCCCCTCAGAATCCGGTTGCAAGCACTGCTACTAGAGCTGATTTGCTTTCCGTCCTCAATCTAATACAACAAGTGCCCAAGATGGCTAATCTACAAAAGGCATTTCCTCAGATATCAAATCCATATTATCCTCAGCTATAGCTGACATGAGAGAAGAAGATCTTCGCTCAGTGATGGTTCGGCTGGTAGAAGTGGAACACTCCACGGTTTGCCATGACGACACCAGCTTGGCCCTTCAACACATGTATGTCCGCCATAACGTCTAACTTATTGCAAGGATAAATTGAAGACCTGCACTACAGGGGATGCCAGCAGAATTTGTGGGTTACCTAAACTCAGTTGAACCAGACCAGATTTTCCAGGCCCTTCAAAAGTAGTTCAACAATATACTGGAGAAGTATCTGGACTTCCCAATGGAATTTGAACAGGCTCACAGAGTCCCCTAGCATGAGGGAAGCAAGCAAATCCCTCGAGAGACATTATGTGCTGCTTCACCAGCTTACTCCCCCTCCCTATTTTTTTCCTTTTCCCCCTATACCAGTTAGATCCACCTCTTCATACCTCATGGGTGGGGGGGTGTCAACCGTTTCTTATGGATTGTGCAGTGGCCATATGATGATGGGATGCACTGCACCGCATCATCAGGGGAACAACTGCAAAAACCATGAATGTCAGCCATCCCCTTCCAATGACAGACATTAAGCCATGTGAAGGAAGTTTGGGAGGCTGCATCAGGTATGTGTAGGCATCTTTATGCCTGCATTCATACCTGCACCTAATGTCCACTTTTTTTTTTTTTAGGTGCATTCTCCAAAGCTATTAACCTGATCTTGGCTTCTTACCTGTACCGAAGCAGAAACTTTTGGCCCATCATTGCTCTCCTTTGGAGGTTTCTTATTAGAGTGGATTGTGCTCTTTTTTCCATACCTAGCCTATAAAATTGGCAGGAAATATTACCAGGTTGAAACTCATTGGCAGCAGAGTGACACAATATAACATTAATATACCTCAATACTGTTCTGTATACGGTCTTACCTCTCTGCGGGTGATACGATGAGGGCCAAGTGAAGACTCCATCTGTCAAACAATAGCAAACAGAAAACTAAACAGAGAATAATGTAATTAATTATAAGTACACAATCACCATGATAGGGACTAAGTGAATGCTCCCTCTGTATGAGAGACAAAGAACAATAAAATAGAATGTACTAATTACACATATGCATGAAATACATAACATGGATAAAATGAGTTGGAAGTCCAGAGGGCAGAGAAAGGGTGAGGGTCTACTAAACAGAGCAATATTTTTATCATGACACCTGATGCTTTCTACTAGCACCCCACAACAGCATTAGCAGATGGGTATCTTACACCCCAGGACCACACACTTCCCTTAGTTTGCTCTACTCCGAATGCTTTTCTCCACCAGCAATAGACAGGACTCTCATCATGCTGTAGGCTGACCACCCTTCCACCAGAAACCTTCAAATTCTTGATGGTCATCACCAGGATATAGTTTCCGCAATAGACCACACATCATTTTCATGAGCCCCATAGAGGGACTGACCTCTCAATCCCCTTAAATAATGGGAAGAGCAGGAACAGTAAGGGATTGACTACATGAATATTACACCATATCCCTTCAAAAATGGAGACCAAAGAGTAATATTTATGGGACTTTAGAGGTGTACACTGTATACAACTGTAAGCTCAGAAATATAAAAATATATACTTTATTTAAACAAGTTAAAAAATACATCCAGTTTTAAAATCATATAAACTCATCATATGATCACATGTATTGCAGATAGTCTAGCAGTGTACAGATGTTTGTTCCCAACTTGTTTCGCCCAATTCGGGCTTCTTCAGGGGAAAGAAAATGGCACATCCCTTAGTGAAAGCACCTCACAGTACACACATAAACACTGGTTAGACACATATTTAACCCTTTGATTGCCCTAAATGTTTAACCCCTTCCCAGCCAGTGTCATTAGTACAGTGACCATGTATATTTTTAGCACTGATGACTGAATTAGTGTCACTGCTTCTCACAAATGGTCAGTTAGTGTCAGATTGTCTGCCATACTATCACAGTCTCACTATAAGTTGCTGATCACTGCCATTACTAGTGTAAAAATTCCATTATACTCTATACTGTATATACCATAGTTTGTAGACACAATTGGCCTCTGAAGTGTGGGCGGGCACAAGAGTAGGCAGAGCAGATCCAGCCTCTCTCCCCTCTTCTTCTATTGGTGTGGAGAATGGAGGGAGGGGCTGGGCATTGAGAAGATGGCGGTGGGAGGGAGGGGGGCGGGGGATAGAAAGTAAACTGAGCAGTCAGGTATGTTCAGGTATGTTCTGTGCAGCGGTGAGGGCGGGGTTTTGTGACAAGCAGCGATCTCCTGTATGACTTTCAATGAAGCAGTTGGAAGCTGCATCTCCTCCTCTCCCTCCCCGCGGCTTCCAGCTGCTTTATTGAAAGCCATACAGGAGATCGGGAGATTGCTGCTTGTCACTGCCTCCACCACCACCCTTCCCACACACCCCTAGTCCTGGCACTGCTCGCCGACCCCACCTTAATTCCACATCACGGGCGAGTGGAAATTTCGAGGGCTGCAGGGACGGTTGGCACTTCTCGTCTGAGGGTGGTTCAGATCCCCCTGACATTCCCCTTATCTACCCCTGCTGCAAGGGGTGGGGCACACTCTGTGATGTCATGTTGCCCTTATGACCGCCCTGCTCTGCGGCGGATCTGTCATTGCGGGCTGGCAGTCCAGAAGGCAGCGCTGCTGGGGCCATTCTTGGAGCACGGTCCGCCATTTAGTGACCAATGGTATAGATCATTAATGCAAACCCTATTTATTTTAAACACTCAGGATCTGAAGGTAAATTTGCATCACAGCAGTAGCGAAAGAGATGTGGACACAATACTTTATGGCACAGTAAATAGGCGAAGTAATAGAAAGTGAGAAAAAAAGAGGAAGAAGAGAGAGGAAGACGAGACAAGTAGAAAGCAGCACATTAGTTTGTTTTTAAAGCTGGCCATACAATAGTAGAGTTCCATTTGACATTTTTCATTTTAAGAATGTTCATTTGAATTTCTAATCATTATTGTTGTCAAATTGATGTTTGTTTTGGTTGTAGTGGCGAAAAAAGGAGCAGGATGGAAATTTTTTCTCAAAAAGAACAAATTTATTAGTAGTGAATGTGGTTTAAGATTCCAAAATCGAATTTTGAAAGCAAAAGAAATTTTGGAGGACTTTCAAATGACATTTGTCAAATCTTTGAATCTACTAGCATATGGCCAGCTTAAGAATACAAACATCTTTTCCTCTGATATTGGCACTGAATAGATTGAATAGACATCTACTGTACATATTTATATAGTGGATAGTGATTGCCACATACACAGTGGAAGTACAACCACATCTAATAGAGTATTTCTTAAGATGAAAGGGTATACAATGAATAAATGTATACTTACTGCTGTAGCTTTGTTGGGAAATCCAATGCAGTATGCCAAGTGTTATTCTACCTTCTCTGCTGGCACTGTTGCCGCCTATGACAATATAGTGACCACTATACTGACTTCAAGGGGGAAACCTCTAATACCAGGAAAAGTACTGTGGCTTCACTTTGTGCAATAAAGGGAGGAACTTCCTAAGGCTGGATTTTCAAAGTACAGCAAGTTATGCAAGCACATGCTTTTTTCATTAATGTAATACCTTTTGCATGGAGTTTAAAGTGCCTCTAAACTCAAAACCAAAATGTAATACAAAACAGCCTACTAGTACTTGGTGCGCTGGCTGCATTTTTCTTTTCCCAATTTTTATTTTTTTTTCACCTCCAAATGCAGAGTGCAAATAACACACCTCCCTTCCCTGGGTGGCTATGTCACTCTTCCACTGTATCTGTGGAGGGAGCTATGGTTGTCCCCTCAGGCTGCTCTCCTGATATGGACTACAAACGTTTCTGTATCTCTTCATCTCCATTACATGGAGGGCAGGGCAAATGGTAGTTTACAGAAGGTACCTAGAAAGGAAGACACTCTTCTGTGGATATTGCATTTCTGGCAAGATCAAAAGGCAGTTTCTGTATTTGGTGAAAAAAAGAAAACTAATGCAGCCATCGTATCTAAGGACTGGTAAGCTGCAATATATTATATTTGTGTTCTTGGATTACGTCATCCTTTAACAACAAAACCACTTTAGAGTAGCACTTGAGTTGTCTTATACAATGCATGATATGGGGCGATTGCACTCAGTGGTGGTAAGCATGTTTAACCACTTCAATACCGTGCACTTTTACCCCCTTCCTGCCCAGGCCAATTTTCAGGTTTCAGCGCTCTCACACTTTGAATGACAATTGCGCAGTCATACAACATTGTACCCAAACTAAAATTTTATCATTTTAGTCACACAACTAGAGCTTTCTTTTGGTGGTATTTAATCACCACTGGGGTTTTTATTTTTTGCTAAATTAACAAAAAAAGACCAGAAATTTTGGAAAAAAACACGTTTTTCTTTGTTTCCATTATAACAT